TCGTCATGTGTCCATATCGATATCCACCATCATATGCGTTCGTCCACATTTCTTTATCGATGAGGCTAATGTAATCATATCATTCCTCGTTCTTCGCCCGCAAATCTTGAAGCATTGATTCAAACGTTCGAGGAAGTAGTTCGTAACCTGATCAAAAAATGTATAACTTACTAACTTGCTTTCTTTGCAAAATTAAAATGATAAAAAAATTTATAACTTACTAACTTGCTTTCACTTACTCATGCGACAATTAATTGACGCTCATCATTCTTCTTGTACCTTCCATGATAGTTCGCAGCAATGTGTCGGAGACAATACCTATGTTGGGCAAAGGGTGGTTGCTACATTAGACCCAAAGACTCCATTGTTGCTTTGATCTCAGCTCCGCGATCTGAAATGACTCAAATTCTTTCCCTCGTGATAACATGTTCACGTAAATTTCAGAGAAAAAAGCCCAAGAATCTGTATCTTCTCCTTCGACAAGAGCAAAAGCAACTGGAAGAATGTTGCGATTGCCATCTTGGACAACTGCCAATAATAAAACTTGCTTGTATTTTCCATACAAGAAAGTCCCGTCGATCTGGACCACAGGCTTGTAGTATTTGGCAGCATTAACGTACTGTGGGTAACTCCAAAAAACCCGGTAGAATTGGCATCGATCGCGAAGAACTCGATCATTATGGTATGCATAGGAGGTTTCGAAGTCCACAATTATCCCAGGATTCAACGTCCACACCAGCCTAAACCAACCTGGAAGTTCGTTGTAATATGCATCACATTCGCCATGAAGTTTGACAATGACATTTTGTTTTGCCAACCAAGCTTCTTTTATAGGAGACGGTGTACCCATACTGCGATTGTATAGCTGAAATCAACACTGCAACAGCTATATGAGAGCTTGCTTTTACCATGAGCATGATGGCTTGGCATATCACTTCATAGTCCAAATTCGGATGATCTTGGTTGACCCCTCCAGCACAACATGTGCGAGGACCGTTGTATACTGTTAGTTCCCATATGTTGTTTTTCCTCTTTATTTTTGATACGTGAACCATCTAATTGCATCCGTTTTCGCGTCAGGCACAGTAGCATACATATTTTTCGGTCGTCGATCGGTTGACTCTGGACTGAACAGAATTACGGATATTGTAATTTTTGATAGCCATCATCGCTTCTTCTTTTCTTGAAAACTCCATGCCTAAAGATAACTCACCATTATTTATTGATGAGTAATATCCATAGTCACCGAGATAAGGCATATCCGTAAATTCTAGCCCGTACATTGCACCATAATCAGCTTCATACATGTGTGCAGGAGGGTCAGTTTGTGCCACATTTCCTGGAACTTCATCATCATCGGAGTTGAATTGCGGTGATTCTGGGTGAATGAATAGTCCAGTCTCAGCACCATCCGCACCAGGCTCACGAAGCGGTTCTTCTGGTGGAGATGATGGTTCCTCCATGCTCTCCACATTTAGGTCGAAGAACCTACTACTTGCACGCATTCCCCTTGAACTGGAAGACATATCGACATTGAGATTGAAAAAGCTCGCAATCGAATGCTTCCCCTTGGAGCTTGAAGCCATCGTATCAAATGGAAACTGCACAGATGGTTGCGTCGATGGCATCTCCATATGGTCAAAGAAATTTGTAGATGAATGCCTTCCCCTTGAACTGGACGCGATGTTGCCATACGGATTATTCATGGACCCACCTCGGTACATATCGTAAGGAGTTAAGAATGAATGTCTCCCCATTATGACATTAAAATCATTACACATTATTGTAGTCGAGCTGTCAACTTTATCAACTTGTTCAGCCAGCCCATAGTGTGAGCTTAAAGATTGACCCCGAACAACACACACTTGAACAAAATGTGCATACATCTCAATAGTGGCGTTTGAATAATTACTTTGAGCTTCAACCATCATTTGAACATCATCATTGTTCGAAAGTTCGAACGCTGTATAAGTTAATGGCAACAATGATGTTGGAAATCTGTACTGCAACGACGACATTATTCTGTTACTTCCAACATGAATCTTCCTCGAAATCTTCGTTATTAGCTCCTCAAGAGTTATATTTCTCTTGAATGATATTTTAACACGCTCATTTGATATGAAAACAATGCTGGTTTCATCTTCTCGAATTTCACCATCATAATAAACAATAGCTGAAAGTCGCGCCATTCTTTGAGTTTAAAAGTGCGGCAATATTATATCTGTAAAAAAATAACTTAAACAAACCTGATTAAATAAATTATATATGAACGAAAATATAACATAATAATTTTTTTACACATCAACATAAATAATTTAATTTTATATTATTACCTGCACCGCAAAACTATTTCGACGTATGCTCCTGCTTTTCAATTTTACAAACATAAAAATTAATTAAAAATAATTAGTGTAATATTTTTTTAAATAATGATAATAAACAATAAGTATAATTAAAAAATTATAACAAAATTACCTTATAACGAAAAATCGCACGAACTTCTAAATCAAATTTGAGAAGATTGCGATAATTATTACTTGTTGACGGAATTGTTGTATTAATTTATAAGAGAGGAGAGATGCGAGGAGATGTGAGCCGGAGGAGTGTATTTATAAGCATATAAGGCGCGATACCTGCACCGCGCTATATGTAATTATTCAGATAAAAGATATAGCGCAAATCAGGGACCGCGTTAAATATAATTTTGGTACGGCGTATAGCGCGGCCCCTGATCCGCGTTATACCCCTACGTGGCGTATAGCGCGGATCAGGGGGCGCGCTATACCCATGTGGCACCAGATCACCGTATATCGCGGGGCAGGGGGTGCGCTATACTCACGTGACGCCAAATCAGCATATAGCGCGGTGTAGGGGGCGCACTTTCTTGCTAAGGGTGTTAGATCGGGAAATATAGTCTGACCGATGTTAAATCAGTAATAATACTGATCACCAGTGATATACCGAAAAAATAGCAGTAAGCTACAATATGGTCAATGAAATTTTAGAGGTCATCAAAATTTTAAAATTTGTATTACAATTTCTATTAAAAAAATTGTATTTTAATTTACTTTAATTATAATTATAATTTAAAAAATTAAATTAGCACAACTGAGTTTTTTTCTTAAATTTTTTTTTTATTAATAGTTGTTATAAAATGTCAATTTTCTGTTGAACAGACAATTATTAATTAATTTCAATAATAAAAGAATAATTTGATAATATTTTTTACAAAAATATTATCAAATTACAAAAAGAAAAAGAATACAAAAGAAATGAAATGATACTGCTATTTTTTTAGATTTTTAATGTACCAAGTTAGCTGTTATTAATAGTTTAATGATACAGGAATGAAGTTTTTTCATAATGACATGTTCTACGAAAAAATATTATTTGTGATGGAAAAAAATAAAAGAATCTTAACATTTAAATGATTATTATTTGTATTTACTCTAAAATTTATTATTGTTAAGAGTGTGGAGAGTTATGCGGTGTTTACAATGTTATCCTTTGAAAGAAAATTTGAGGGTAGATTATTTTATTGGTCACTAAATTATGTTATCATTTCTAAATAGATCATTAAATAAAAAATAATTTCATCCATAATCAGTAACGATAAGCTGATGTGGTAGTTTTAAAATTTATATAATAATACATTTGATGTTTTATAGTTCTACATTTAATTAATTTAGTCTTAATTTAAAAATAATTAAATAAATTTAAATCCTTCAATAAGACAAAGACACATGTCATCACCTTATTAATAAAAATTAATAATATTTTAGATAGATTTAGGAGATTAAACTTGGAACTTTTAAGTAACATTTAACAATTGTATCAAACTAAATAATTATTTATAATTAGAAAAAAACATATTAAATATATAAAAATAAACATCTCAATAATTATGTAATATAAATTAGGTTTAATACAAAAAAATTGTTCAAACTGTATGTCTTTTGTCTTTTCATTTAGATCTTTAATTTTTATTTTCGATTAATCTAAGTGTCTAATATTATAGATGTTATTATTTTAAGTATTTCGATTGTGACATACATTTAAAAAGTACGTTACGCGACACATGTCGTGTTTATATATTTTTAAAATTTTTATTTAAAAACTTTGAAATTAAAAAAATCTAAAATTCTTTAAAATTAGGGGAAAAAAAAACCTCAAAATCCTAATATCTTTTATTTCAAACTATAATTTCAACTATTGTCGGTCATTTTCGGTTATATCTGACCATCGTCTCTGTCATCAAACACCCACTGACAGACTATCATCTTAACTGTCATCTTAAACTCTTAAATAGTTAAACCCTTAAATATCTTACCTTAAATTTAATGGGTGAATGATTTTTGATTTATTCATACAGGAGAGAAGAGACGAGAGTGAAGGGGATGAGGGAGAGAAAGCGAGGGAGGCAGGGAAGTGAGTGAATGGTAAATTTGTCTTCACTGCAGTATGGAGAGGAAGAGTGTGCAGCAGGGAGGGGAAGGGGTACGATGCAGAGGGGAGGGGAATGGATTTTTTTAATATATAATATTTTTATTTTAAAAATAAAATAAAATAAATAAAATTTGGACCAACTATACTTACTAGAACATTCCTATTGTCCCTTAAATCAAATTTATAAACTATACATGTATCGTTTGACAGACTTTTCTAACATCTATTGTAGTTGGGAACATATATATTGATCGAAAATATACCAATTTGAACCTATAATATATATGTATATATATAATTTATACAATTTTATTTTGAACCTATAAATCATCAATATATTACATAGTAGATATAAAATATTGAAGTATAATTATAATTCACTTCAAAAAATATACCAATTTGAAACGGAAAAAGAAAAACAAAGAATTTAAAACAACGGGCATCTAAATATAGCCGTTGGAATATCGGAGCTTAGATCTATAACGGCTACATTTTTCTCTTTTCTTAAAGCGATTTTCCGATTACTTTTAAGTGCTATCTCTCAGCTCGCAATCAAATTCAAACATCTGAAATCTCATATTTTAATTTCTTTCCATTTTGTATCTTCAGTTCCTTTCCAATCCAAACACCTAAGTCCTATTAATCAAATTCTTCCCTTTTTCTCTTTCCATCTGTCAGCTAATTCCAGTAATAAAGCAATCACAACTGCAACATCCAAGGTATGGGAAGCACCCATTTCATCGGTTGCTATTTTTTTTGTAAAGAATTTAGTTAATTAGAGTATTACCCTTTCTTGTTTTGTTGATTTTGAGAAAACCCTTTTCATATGTTCATATGTATTTTCGAAGAGTTTAGTTAATGAGATCCTAACCCTCTTTTTGTATGTTGATTTTGAGAAAACCCATTTCATCAGTTCATTTGTATTTTTAAAGAATCTAGTAAACTAGAACCTAACCATTTTCTGTTGATTTGGAAACTCTTTTTTGTGTGATTCTTACTTTCAATTGGTGAACATTGTTCTGTTTCTCTTGAGCTTTTAGTTAATTAGTTAGTTCATCCAGAAGCCTTTCATCTATGCAAGTTGATATGACATTTTTGGAATCAATTTCATGAAAATAACTGTTTCATGTATTTATCCGATTGTTTTGTTGGGAATTCCAGGGAGCAAAGATGAATGATCTGATGACCAAATCGTTTATGAGCTACGTAGACCTCAAGAAAGAGGCAATGAAAGATCTCGAAGCTGGACCGGACTATGACCTCGAAATGTCTTCCAACGCAAACACCATGGACCAAAACCTTGGCCTATTCCTTGAAGAAGCAGAGAAAGTGAAGCAAGAAATGGCAGTAATCCGTGAACTCTTAGGTAAACTCCAAGAGTCCAACGAAGAGAGCAAAACACTTCACAAACAGGAGTCTTTAAAGGCCTTACGGAACAAGATCAACAATGACATCGTCACCGTGCAAAAGAAAGCCAGGACTATCAAGGCGCAGCTCGAAGAAATGGATCGAGCAAATGCAGCTAACAAGCGCCTTTCGGGCTGCAAAGAAGGTACGTTAGCTTACAGGACTAGGATTGCAGTAACCAATGGGTTGCGCAACAAGTTGAAGGAGCTGATGATGGATTTCCAAGGTTTGAGGCAGAAGATGATGACCGAGTACAGGGAAACAGTGGGGAGAAGGTATTTCACTGTGACAGGTGAAACCCGGATGAGGAAATTATCGAGAAGATAATTTCCGACGGCAATGGTGGTGAGGGGTTCTTGACACGGGCAATACAAGAGCACGGCCGAGGGAAAGTGTTGGAGACGGTGGTCGAGATCCAGGACAGGCATGATGCGGCTAAAGAGATCGAGAGGAGCTTGCTGGAACTGCACCAGGTGTTTTTGGATATGGCAGTGATGGTGGAGGCACAAGGGGAACAAATGGATGATATTGAGCATCATGTGATTAATGCTAGCCATTATGTGAAAGATGGTTCTAAAGAGCTCAACACTGCAAAACAGTATCAAAGGAGCAGCAGGAAGTGTATGTGCATTGGGATCATTCTTTTGTTGTTGATTGTTCTCGCGATTGTCATCCCAATTGCTACTAGCTTTAGCAGTTCTTGATTGAGATGTTTTTACAGAGGATTTAATGTCCAGTTATTCCTTCTGCTTTATTTTATTTAGCAAAAAATGTATGACCGGTAATAATATTTATCACATATATATGATTATTGTACTTTTATTTAAGTTGCTCTTACATATCTTATTAAATAAAAATGAATAAGAAAAAAAACTGTTACTTGATTTGTTCAACTGATTCAACTGGTTTCTCAGCAATAACGATTGTGATTTCCTTGATTTGTTCATGTTCTGCAAAACTTGGTTTTATATCCCCGACTGAGCTCTCCATATCTACTTTTTGCATCTGTTCTGTTATTTCAACACCCTTGTTTCTATTCTTATAATTCACATAGATGATAAACAATGAAAGAAACTGTTGTAAACAAACCATGATGCTTAAACGAGAAGCATAGACTGCAACACTGTAAACAGCACAAATCTATCCCATGGCAATCACTCGATTAGACCTTTGTCTTAACAAATTGGTGACTACCATTATCAAACAATACCCTCCAAGGTTGAATAATATTATCCATTTCACTGTAAATACCTGCAAATTCCCTAAAAAAACTTCAGTGTCAAGATTTTCAGTGTAATCGAGTTAAGTTGATTTATCCAACTGTACCTTATCCTTCTTTGGTGCATATATGATGTATAGCACAAGATAAATAACTTCGATGGCACATCTGAAGCTGCTGGTGCCGTCGATGAGGTTCACATTACTCTTAAGCCTGCCGTAGTACAATAACATCATTGCACTTGAAAGTGCAACCATGTATGGGATTGATTGGTATTCTTCAGCAGTTTTTTTCTTGTAAATTTTATAAAAGGTTTGCCTGATAAGGAGAGAGAAAGGAGACAGATTTATCAGCAATGTGCCATTGATTTTATTAGCAAATATGTATCAGAAAAGGCTCTTACACTGGTGCCAAGAACACCAGGAAAGAGACAATGCTACCTGAAAGAAGCAAGAATGAACATTAGAGATTATGACCCTGCAAACATACGCATATCCAACACTCATTTAGATTTTGGGTAATATTGTTGCGGTTCATACCTTCTAGTTTGGGTAAAGAATCATGGTCGGTGGTTCTAATGATAGGAAGAAGATGGTGTATTATAGTATGGAGAGAGAGGTTCAGAAAGAATTCATACCATTGGTTCGGTTCTCTGTTCAAAACAGAATAGATAAATCATCAATAATAATCGACAAACGTAAAAACTAATCGAACATATGATAGGTTAAGAATAGTGAGAATACCCAAGACACCAAATATGAAAGCCAGCTGCTGATGAGGGCCCAATAATCTCATTTTGATTGATATATGCCTGAAGCTCTTCACACTGTTTCTCAGTGACAGAGAACTTAAGTCCCAATGCTCTATTTCCCTGAACCGCTCGAAGATATACTCAAAGATGTCAAGGATTGCATAATTCCAGGCCTCACTCATTGGCAAAGTCCAAACTTCTTCGCCTACTTCCAAGCAAATGCTAGCACTTCTGGCTTTGTAGGGGAAATGCTTTGCTCGGGTTTTAATGTCGTTGGTTTCAACTGGATTTCATCCCCTGCGGCGACTGAGCTTGAATCCATTGTGTTGGACTGCATGCGCAAGTTACTTCAGCTACCATCATCATTTTTGTTTACCGGAACCGGTGGTGGAGTCTTACATGGCAGTACATGTGAGGCTGCTGTTTGCGTTTTTGCTGTTGCAAGAGACAAAGCACTGAAAGAGCTCGGTGGGTGGGAAAACATAACCAAATTGGTAGTTTATGCATCGGATCAAACACATTTCACTTTCCAAAAAGCTGCAAAATTAGTAGGCATCCCCTCATCGAATTTCCGGTTCATTGAAACATCGTTTTCGACAGGGTTTTCAACGTCACCTGAAAAACTTCGTATCGCCATTGATGATGACATGAAATCAGATTTGGTGCCATTATTTTTATGTGCAACCGTTGGGACAACACCCACTGGAGCAATCGATCCTATTATGGAGTTAAACAAAGTTGCCATGGAATTCAAGCTTTGGCTTCACATTGACGCAGCATATGCGGGAGTGCGTGCATTTGTCCTGAGCTCCGCCATCATCTGGATGGAGTAGGCTTGCCAACTCCATTAGCACGAACACACATAAATGGTTTCTCACAAACAAGGACTGCTGTTTGTGGATTAAGGAACCAAAGTTGTTAACCGATTCACTATCTAGTGATCCTGAAATACTAAGAAACAAGGCAAGCCAATCCAAAGCAGTGATTGACTACAAAGATTGGCATTTCGCATTGGGTAGACGATTCAGGGCTTTGAAGCTTTGGATTGTGATTCGCAGACATGGTTTGGCCAACCTGATGTACCACATTCAAAGCGATATTGCCATGGCTAAATGCTTCGAAGCATTTGTGAGGAAAGATGAGAGGTTTGAGATGGTAGTACCCAGAAAGTTCGCATTGGTTTGCTTCAGGTTGAAGCCCAAGGTCGAGGACGATGATGAGGCAATGAATTGAACCGTAAATTGGTGGAGGCCATAAACTCAAGTGGGAGATCTTTCATAAGTCATGCAGTGGTGGGTGGGATTGATGTGATTCGATGCGCCATTGGAGCAACTCCGACTCAACAACAACATGTGGATGCGTTGTGGGAACTCATCCAAGAAAAAGCTCATACTTTATTAACTAATCATTAGGAAAAAAAAATCCATCTGCTCTGTCTTATTTCTATGCCAGTAAAGCTGCATTTCTATGTATTCATTAACGTGATCTTCAATACCGATTAACTAACTGCATAAAAAAGCATATGGAAATTGGTCCTTTTAATTCATGAAGATGGAATTCTGCAATTCGAAACTGTCAGCTCTACATATGTTTTAAGGATTCTTCACCTTTTTTTATCGTAAACCGAATCTGATACACATGATTAACCGAATTAATCCACTTTACAATCCTATTCACTTTTTCAACAACTTCCAATCAGTATGCTCATGTACTCAGATCAGACGCATCTTTACAAGATTAGGTAAGTAGGTGAACCTATTCTGGTAACTTGTAACCTAAACGGCTAAACCTCTTGGCTAACACTGAATTATCAAATATGTCTCAAGTTTATGATTTGGTAAACACAATTGTGTCATCTAAATTATTTCCCCAAATTAGTTAGTTTGATATCTTCCATGTGCAAATTAGCAGTTAGCCTCACCCCGATTTATATTTACATATTAGTTGAATTACCTTCAAATCAATTAATTTTCTTGATATTTAACTAAGGAAGCAGGTTTTGCGTCAAGAAAAATGTTTTTTCATCACATAAATAATAGCGGATGTTTTCAATCCCTTTGTCATCAGATTTGTTAAGCTCATTTTATCTGGATTACGTGCTGCTTAATGTCATTGTCAACGACCGATGTTTTAACAACTCTCTGTTTACTTTTTACTTGACCAGTTTTCTGCAAGAAATCTGGGTATATTCTTTGAGGAATGTTCATTTGCAAATCAGTTCGATAAACACAAGAGTCTGAGAACTCGTCTATGATCAGAATTCTGAAATCTGATAGCAGTAGCTTAAACTGCAAAAATACCATAGACAGAAACATGAAAATAAGTTCCATGACCTATAATCCAGAAGCATAAGCATACAAATCCACAGAATGAGTAAATTAAAATGGCTCAACTTTGAGACGTACCCGGTCAGCTGACCGTGACAGTCTTTACCTGCTACTAATGGAAAAATAATGAAGTGATGGTTGGTTTCCATCTATAAAAAGCTTCATCTGCCATGCAAAGTTTCCTAATATTCTCCAAAGCAATAGCAAACAACAAGCTAAGCACTGCTGGTATATCATAATGAAAGGAATTCAATCTATTCTTATAGCTTTCAGCCTCTTGGTTTTTGCTTGCTCATTGGCCTCAGCATATGACCCCAGTCCTTTCCAGGATTTCTGTGTTGCTATCAAGGACATCAAAAATGGCGGCAGGTAGTCTACTTCGTGTGAAAGCCTGTGCTGAAGAAAATTCAGTTTAGCTTTAATGTTTTAATATAACTTTTAACATTTCTTCATTGCAGTGTTTGTAAACGGTAAATTCTGCAAAGACCCAAAGCTTTCAGTTGCAGAAGATTTCATTTTTTTCCGGCCTAAATAAACCGGGGAACACATCTAATCTAGTTGGATCAAATGTCACTATGGTCAATGTTGACGTATTACCAGGAATTAGCACTCTCGACATATCTCTGGTTCGAATCGACTATGTGCCTAATGGCGTTAACCCTCCCCACACTCACCCTCGAGGATCTGAGATCTTACTTCTTGTCCAAGGCACACTTTATGTCGCCTTCGTTATATCAAACCCGGACTTGAACCCTGGAGATGTTTTCGTTTTCCCCATCGGTATGATTCATTTCCAGTTCAACATAGGGAAAACTGCTGCGGTTGCATTTGCTGGTCTCAGCAGTCAAAATGCTGGGGTTATCACCATTGCTAATGCAGTGTTTGGCTCAAACCCACCGATCAACCTAGATGTTCTCACCAAGGCCTTCCAGTTGGACAAGAATACGGTTAAGTATCTTCAGTCTCGGTTCTGATTGGATTAAAAAGTACTTTAGTAGCTAAATCAAAACCTCAGATGTTTGTTTGAAATAATGTTTCCACGAGTTTTTGCTATTATATAATGAATTAGCTAGTTATTGGAATTTGAATTTGAGTGCGAGTGTTATAGTTAATGAATGTCCAGCATGAATAAAAAGAATATGGTGGCTTATGATGTACCTATTTCTCGTCTCCTCTGTGTGGGATCATTTGGATATGAAATTAGAATATATAATTAGAATTATGAGGTTTGACGGGAGGAGTTTAAACTTTACACAATCTGAATCTGAAATACAATCTAAATTGTAAAAACACCATAAACATAAAAAAGATTGACAATTATTTCTAGGACATGTTATTCGATACCGTAAACATGTATATTAACGGAATGATCAAAATAAAACAGAGTTTGACAGGATACTCTCATTTTTCTCCCGTCGCATCACACCCGTGATTTTATATGGACTATTTCAGACACCCACGTATCCTCGCCGAAGGTTAATCATCCAAGGCCTTATTTGAGAGTACATGGCCGGTTGTTGTCACAGTCCTAACTTGGTAGTTAAGGAGAACAATGATAAACAGGTCGTTGCCACTCAAAAGTTCTCAATCTTCTTCTCCAAAGCACGGGCAAACAACCATCTAAGTCAAATTAAGCATTAATAGAAGGAATTCGCTCTGTTATTGTTGCTTTCACCCTCTTGGCTTTCACTTGCTCATCGGCCTCGGCCTCAGACATCAAAGGTGAAGGTAGACATTCAGGACTTTATATTAATGTTCATCATCATTATGTATATGATGCCTGAGCCGAACAACATTCAGTTTAGCTTCAACGTTTTAATCCTTCTCGCACTCACCCACGAGGAACAGAGATCCTAGTTGTTCTCAAAGGCACATTTACGTCGGCTTTGTTACGCCATAGCCGATAGTTATGATAGCACTCAAAGCAGTTTGATTGATAGTTTGAGCTCGAGCTCAATAATTATTGCATCAAATCCAATTTCTTTCAAATTAAATTCAATTTATATTTGACAGTTGATTTTACAAATATATTTAGATATGAATTATAATATCATCAAAGTTTTAGATGTAGAAAATATTTTTTTTAAGATGAAAGCATGTGTATGATGCCATATCCATATTTGACATATAATAGAAGCATGGTGGAACAGTAATTGCAACTATCGAATTTGGTTTGCCCCATGGATCGACAACAGATGTACCCCCTTCAATGGAAGACAACTGTGGACCCCAAGTTTGGCCAAAATACAAGAGTAAAACTAACTGCAAACACAATCGTCATTATATAAAATATAATTATTAGGTACGATGATTATATAAAATATAATTATTAGGTACGATGATTACATAAAAAAGGGAAGCAAGGCAAAAATGGAGCATCGAAGTGAGCATATAAGAATAAGTACTTAAAACGAAGTAGAAAGGTAGGTTCGGCAAAAGTTTGAAAATTGGTCCAAAATAGTTCATTATTAAAGGTCTGAACATTGGCTCCGTATCAGTAAAAATGAATTTTAAGAGAAGTATCTCTTTTTCCCTGCGCAGAATGTTAAGAAAACTACCGATTTTTCTGCTTCATAATTGTTGGCCACAGTAATAAACCATGCTCCAGTCTCTTTCTTAGCCACTCGTTTTAAACATCTCAAGGGAATGCGAAGTATTTAGCTGGCATCTATGCAATCAACATATCAGAAACACATCTCAACTCCATTTCCGGATAA